GGCTCTTTGGCCGTATCTTCACTGGGGTGTTGCTTACTTGGTCTGAAGGTGACCTGGGAGTTAATCTCTGCTGATCTGGGTGCTGGTTGCTGGTAGAAAGGAGAAGAGCTGGGGTCTTTTTGTTCCCTTTGGGGGCTGGTTGATGGCCTCTTTTGCACCGTCTGCAGACGTGGTTAACGCCTCTGTGTCCGTTGATGGCTGATCGGTCAGAGGGCTACACTTCTAGGAATTCCCTGGCATTTTTGGATTTGGCTTGGTCTAGGACGATCACATTTTCCCCATTGCAACGATGGTTACATCTGTCTGTCTATTGTGAAATTAGCCTTCTCATTTTTTTATTTCAAAACAGTTTTTCAGTTGCATTTCACAAACAGGATTATTAAAAAAAAAAGGGAAAAGCGAAAAACCTGCTTTCGTTTAAGGGAACAGAGCTAATAGTAGGATGAGCAAACCTTCAATCCTGCTGAAGACAGGAGCCTGTTTTTCACTAAGGAAGGAGATGCTGCTTGTTGGAATGTTTGTGTCCCCCCCCCCTCGCAAAACAAAACCCAGACAAGGGGAGACCCACAGGAAGTGGCTGTTTTTTCAGGGGGCCTATTGACCTTTTTTGGCCTAGGGAGGGAGAGGCCCCCACATAGGCCCCCGTGGAGGCACCATGGGCCGTTGGGCAGGACGAGGCGGCAGAGGGATGCGCTGGTAGCTGTAGGGAGGGGGCCAAGGGGGGCCATTGTATCTATGGGGTGGCATCAAGGGAGGCAGCGCACGCCTCCCATGAGGTGGCATGGGACCAGGATGACCCATTGGTGATCCAAAGTGAGGTCCCCTAGGTGGCATGCCCATGGGGGGGGATGGCCCAGGATGGGGCATGCCTGGGGGGTGGGCGTGGAGGTGGCTGCCCCCCTGCCCCTGGGGGTCCCCCTGCCCCTGGGGCTGCCCCCCTGCCCCTGGACTTGCATTTGTGGCATGCCTGGATACATCCCACCAGGAGGGGAAGGATGTGGGTGGGGAGGATGCGCCCCTCCCCGGGGACTCCTGTGGAAGGAGGTCCTGGGGCATTTGCCCCTGGTGGCATGGCTGGAGGAAATCCTGGTGGCAAAGCTCCCGGGGGGGGGGTACCGGTGAAGGAAACGATCCAGGTGGGGGGATGCCTGGAGGAGTAACCCCTGGTCCCAAGGTGGTAACCACTGGCATGGGCACCAAGGGCGGGGGCGTAGCGTCTGCAAAGAGTTGGTGTGGCCGGTCGGCCTGGGAGATGGGGGGGGGTCTGTGCTACGAGGAGCTCAGCGGCGGAGCCGTGCCCCCCCCCCTTGGAATCCTTCTTCAAAGCGCAGGGGACGGTAATGGGGCGGCTGCCCAGGTACCGTCCATCCATCGCCTCAATGGCGGCATCTGAGGCATCGAAGCTGGCAAAACTGATGAAGGCGTCACCCTTGGGAGTTGCCCGTGTCAGGGTCACGCGTGATCTTCGGAGTCTGCAGGATGACCCCCGAGGCGCTCAATGTGTCGTACAGCAGCTTCTCGTCAATCTCCGGATCCAGCTCGCCAAGGAAGACGTTGGCAGCCACATCCAGGTTCTTGTTGTGGGCCGAGGCCTTGTTGACCCGGATGGGCTTCCTGTAGAGTTTGATCATGTTCACGATCTTGATAGCATAATCGGCGTCCTCCTCGCTGAGGAAATCCATGAACCTTGGTGCTGGCCCGTGACGCGGTTTTTGGGCATGTGGGCGTTGACCACCGGGCCCGCCTGGAGGAAGATCGGCTCGCTGACCTTCTCGTCCAGGCCATCCACCTAGACGGTGGCATTTTGGTCCCACTCCGAGATGGGGCCCGCCGCCCATGTGAAATGAAAGAATTTTCCTCATGCCTTTTGACTGCCAGTTGGTATTCTTAAACTGGTTGGGAGCTTATATTTATTAAACTGGTCGGGAGCTTATATTTATTAAACTGGTTGGGAGCTTATATTTATTAAACTGGTTGGGAGCTTATATTTATTAAACTGGTTGGGAGCTTATATTTATTAAACTGGTTGGGAGCTTATATTTATTAAACTGGTTGGGAGCTTATATTTATTAAACTGGTCGGGAGCTTATATTTATTAAACTGGTTGGGAGCTTATATTTATTAAACTGGTCGGGAGCTTATATTTATTAAACAGATGTTGACAAGAGAAGGCTCACCACAGAAACCGGGCTGACCAGCAAGGGCACCTGGCCAGAGACACGAAAAGCCAGATATTCCACCAGGCGTTTTAATCCACCCACCGCACTGTTTTAATCCCACGCCTCCAGGGACACGACTGAAAGGCATTAAGCAAAGGGTCAGTCTAGAGCAGAGCCAAAAATCTCTTCTCCGGGCCACTCACCTCGTTCACAATGTAGTCAAGCAATTCAAAAATGGCCATGGCAGGGCGGCTGTCTATCCCGTGACCTGCAGGGTTCAAAAAGAGCAAAGGATGGATGAAAGACTACATGCGCAGAACACGCCAAGAAGCATGCCCCCCCCCTCTCCAGCAAGGTGTCCATTTTCAAGAGACCATGAGAATATTTCAGGAGATCAGGATCCAACACCAACTGAAAATCTGGCTGGTTGGCTTGGAACCTAAAGCAAGGGGTCCCCAAACTCTTGGCCAGTGGGCCACGGAAATGGCTGACCTGTGTGAACACGTGTGGGCGCGCATTCCCCGTTTGCGCATGTGCGCAAACGGGGCCGCTTAGCCCCGGGTGGGCGTGTGCAGC